ACTGACACTGATGAATTTTCATCGGTCAGCCGGTTTAGAGCGGTTGGTGCCAACAACACACCCATACGAGAAGAAACGCGTTGAGCTGGGGGAGGTGGAAGGGTCGTTAACGAGAGAAAGCACACCCGCGAGACGCCAGAAAAGAAAAACAGGATCCGCTCGAACGCACACCGGTGTCGATCAGCCGCCGCGAGCCTAGAAACGTAGGCAGGCACCGGCCGCCACGGCAAGAGGGGGGACCTTCTGTAGTATGCATACGTGCATCCATGGACACATACTGCAACAATTGATCTGGCCGTGCATGCTCCGCATTTTCCGCACGTACTCATCGCAAAAGACCTCCAACACATCCCTTGGTAAACGACAACACCTCAAACGTGTTTTCTTCCAAGTACACACGCAACTTCTCAGTGATTTGTGCGTGTAAGTTTTCGAATGCACGCATGCATGCAGCACCCCTGCGTTGTCCATCTCGTCGAAGGGGTGCACACGTTCAATCTTTCTGTGGATCGGTGGGCGTGTTGAGTTTTCGAATGTACGCATGCCACCCTGTGTCATGTCTTACCTCTGTGTTGTCGATCTCGACGACGCGAGTCTTGCCCTCGCGGTCGAGGCAGAAGAGCTTCTTGCCGACGGCTTTGGTCAAGTAAAGCGGAACGTCCAGCGTGCGGATGATCCCCGTGTCTCCGTTCGCCAGGAGGTACTACAACACACATCACATAACACGGCGGCGGCAGGCAGCAGAGCGGAGCGTTGGTGGGGGGGGGGCAGAACAGGGGAAGGAGGGCGGCGTGCTACGAGTCAAGCTTCGCGGTGATACCTTCGACTGGCAGGGGGTACTGCTTTACGTGGACGACGAGCACGTGGCGCAGGACACGCAACCAACCAACACCACAGGGGGGCGAGAGGGCACACACTTCACGGACGCGCACCTCCACCAATTTGGCCGGGTCCATTGGGGGCAACCTTGATTTCTACCCGCCGACACTGACGTCTTTTCCTTGGTCAGCTGGTTAGTGCGGTCGACGCTAATGAGTGAAACAAACGAAGGGAGCTTACACATGAATAATTACGCATGGCCCCGGGAGACAAGTTCTCCATCAGACAGCAACAAACACATGGAGCGCTCACACAAGGAAAGAGGCAGGGTCGCGCAAGAAAGTTCTCCCCCAGACAACACCTTTCGTGCGACGAGCTCTCTGGCCACCCGTCATCTTCCTGCATCTCTTTTCTGTCTGTGAGACTAAGTCACACACACAGACACACAGACACACAGACACACACCTTGATGTGGTTGAGCGTCGAGTAGACGAAGATTCGGTTGTTGGTGTCCCACGCCCCGCTCTTCACGCGCACCGTCTCCGACACCGTGGCCCTGCTCAAACCCGCCACACACACGGCGGACGCCGCCATTACCAAGCGACATGAGCATGCATGCACGGTGAGCACTTCAACATCATACAGCGACATATGCATGCACAGCCAGTCAGAGCCTCAACAGGGACAACATTGCGGCAAGCCCAAGCAGTAGGATACCCCAACCCACAGCAACAACAGCCTGTCGCGGTTTGGCGCTGTAACACTCGCACAGCAACCTAATGGTAGGAGATTACCGCGAGTGATACTGCCTGCAACACCCCCCCCCCAAACAACCCCCCCGACAACACTGCCTAACCGTACACTGCGCCGATAACGCGCGCGTCAGCAGAGGCGCTCGCCGTCAGCGTCGCCGGTGAGCAGACGCGAACGACACTAAAAGCTGTTAAGACAAAACAAAAGGAAACAGAGAAAAGACAGCATGTACAACAGCAATATGCGTAAGTCTCACAGCTGGTCAAGCTGCTTGGAGGCGATGACCACGGTGTGCTTGCTCGCCAGGGCCACGAGGCTGCAGTCGTGATTCCAGAACGTGTACTTCACACGGGGAACCTGCAGCAGAGAGAGAGGCAGCACCGCCGGCAGTAGTGGCAGCGGCGGCGGTGGCGCGGCGGCACCAGCGGAGATGAGAGGAGGACCCACACAAAGGGCGAGTAACCAAACACGTCTTCGGGCAGAGAGTCTGTTCTGGACAGCGTTCCAAAGGGAATCGGGAAGTACGCACAGGTGTATCTGCCTACCTCTTCTTATGTCGGCGAGAAATTTAGCTTGCTTACTTCCGATCAACGCCATGTGTCCGCGGCAAGAGATGTACAAACAAGACAATAAGGTATCGCATACTATGCAACGCAACACAACATACGTGAATCACCCAATCCCCCCCGACCCAACAAAAAAACACCCACGTCTTTGCTGCGGTAACGCATGCGTGTCAGTCAGCCCGCCCTCTGACTCCCGTGCTTGTTCTTACACCCCCCGGACCCCGTGTGACCGGTGACTTCCCCCTACTCTCCTCCTCACCTGGAGCTCCGCTAAGACCTTACGGCTCTGCTGCTCGTACAGGGTGATCCTGTCCTCGCAGCGCAGCAGCAGACGGCCGGAGGTCCCGCCGAAGTGCAGCCCGTCCGTGTTAGGGTGGGGAGGGGTCAGCTTCTTCGTCACCTCGTTGGAGAAGTTCTTGATCAAGATCTGATTGGACGGTGTGGCGGGCAAGAGAAGAGATGGGGAACGAGGAGTAGGAGTAGGAGTAGGAGGAGGAGACGGTGCTGTGATGTATCGGCAAATTTCCTTTTCGAATTTGGTCAAGTATTTCTTACTGTTCGGAAGCACTATCATAGCATTGGTCGCGCCAACAAGGAGGACATGTTCCAAACCTGGGGGGAGGTCTGAAGGCCGGGGGTAAGGGGATGTGTACCGAAGGGTCTAGCGCGGTGTGTGTGACAACTGTGCCAGGCATTTCTCGTGCGTTAGCGGGGCACGAGGAAGATACAGCCAGCGACGAATGGGGACACCCTACGACACCACCCAACCACCCCCGACCCCACTCCCTACCTTTACTCTACCGTTTGCACCCCAAGCAGACGCTCGCGGTGCGCGCACAGACAGCTCCCACCACCACCAACACACGACCAACAAACACGCCCAGAAGCAGCCTCAACCCCTACACCCAAACCTGGTGGTTCTTGTCGAGGACGGCGAAGCGGTTGCGGGCCAGGAAGACGGCCGCCAGGCAGGAGCCTCTCCGGAGCTCATTGGGATCCGCGCCGACGCCGTTGGAGGCCCCGTCCATGCTGCCGAAGGTGAGGAGCTCGTAGCACCCGCCGTCGCTGTCGTAGGTCACCTTTTGGAACAAATCATCACGAGAGAGGGAGGACAATGGCGCACGCGAGGTGGGGGGGGGGGTCAGGGAGACACGAGAGAGATCGGGTTGCGTGTTTGGTGAGAAATGCGCTCTTCCGCATCTTCATTCGGGAGAGAGGCAAGAGCCCTCGAACAAATGTAGACCCCCAAGACAACCACCACTATCAAACACCGATCGATGCCTACATGATCCAACACGCCGGCCACCCCCTCCCAACATCAGCGGCATCACTCTCCACCAGCATCCACAACAAACACTCCTGCCCACGACCGCCAACCGACAAGAACAACAAGAACAAGAGCAACGACATGGCACTACGAAACACCAGGCACACGATTGCCGCCGCCCCCGGCTGGCGAAACCTTTCTCTCGCTCACCAGCACGTTGCACTCGGCGGGGTTGAAGGCGTTGTGCTGCAGCATGCGGGGCCCCTGCCCGAGGCTCGCCCCCTGGCTCTGCCCCGGGCGCCGCATGCTGACGAGGGGTTGGTCCCTCCCCGTCTGCAGCTCGTGCACCCGCAGGTAGCGGTCGCGCACGTACAGGAGGCGTGATCCTGGCGGGTCGAGGGGAGGGGTTGGGGGGGAGGTATTCATGTGTTGCATGCCTTTGCGGTTTCGACCATTGACCATGTGTCCTCGAGCGGACGGAGCATTGTTCCCACGGGACCGATCACCGATCGCCAATATGTTCCTTCCCAATTTGCCAAAGGTGGCCCAAAAATATTGTTCTCTCTACCCTATCCTATCAACATCACTTCCTGCGTACTCAGTCCACTTCCTACGCCAGGGGGGGGAGGGGGCGTACTCTTATGTTTTGCATGCCTTAGCGGTTACACCATTGACCACGCGTCCTCGAGAGGACGAAGCATTGTTCCCACAGGACCGAGATCCGATGGCCAGTCGTTCCTTTCAACTTTGCCAAAGGTGGCTCAAACATGTCTTCCCTAGTCTGTCTATCCTAAAGATATCCCTTCCCGCCTTTGCAACCCACCTCCTTTGCCCCAGTACAGCTACCGTCCTTTCCTCTCGATTCCATGCCTCAAATATCTCCCTGTACGTCCCATCTATTTTTCCCAGCTCAGTCACGTGCACTTCCCTCTGTTTCTGGTACAACGGACATTCCGCGACTACATGAACACGGTCTTCGCATTCGAAGCCGCAATCACATTTGAACTCGTCGTCTTCCTCGTCTACCGTCCTATGTCTTCGTCGACGTTCTCGAAGGCCTATGTCCCCGGTCCTGAATTTGACCTTAAGCTTTGT